GCGGACACCCGAGGGAGGCAAGGAGCCCAGGAGTCACAGTCCTTACATGCTGGCCACCACGCAAGGATTCAACACACAGCCACACCCCGCCAGGGCAACCGGCTGACTTCACGAGGTCCAGTGAAGCAGCAGGGAGGCACCCAGGCCGGGCCAGCTGTCTGCTCCAGGCTCCTGGCTTCAGCCCAGCCCCCCTGGCTATTTGGGGAGTGAACCAGCATGAAGACACCTCTGCATCAACTTAAACACCACGTTCCACTGCTCCCACAGAGCAAACCACTCTACTCTCTGCACTCACTAGAATATGTCACTCTGGTTCTGGTTTTCAAAGGCAGAGGAGGGCAATGGCGCGAAGGCTCAATGACAACCCTCGCCTTGCACCAGGATCCCATATGGGCGCCGGGTCCAACCCTGGCAGCCCCGCTTCCCGTACCGCTCCCTGCCTGTGGCTCCTGCACCATGTAGGAGACCCAGAAGAGGCTCCTGGCTTTGGATCGGCTCAATCCAGCCATTGCGGCCATTTGGAGAGTGAAAAAGCAAATGAAAAGTCTTTCTTTCTGTCCTTTTTCTAAATCTGATCTAACTTTCCAATAAAAACAAATAAATCTTTCCATAAAATACAAAGGCAGAGGGCCCGGCGCGGTGGCGCAAGTGGTTAAGGTCCTCGCCTTGCACGCCCGGGATCCCATATGGGCACCGGTTCTAATCCCGGCAGCCCCGCTTCCCTTCCAGCTCCCTGCCCGTGGCCCGGGAAAGCAGTCAAGGACAGCCCAAGGCTTTGGGACCCTGCACCCGCGTGGGAGACCCTGAAGAGGCTCCTGGCTTCGGATCGGCATGGCATCGGCCGTTGCGCTCACTTGGGGAGTGAATCATCGGACGGCAGATCTTCCTCTCTGTCTCTCCTCTCTGTATATCTGCCTTTCCAATAAAAAAAATAATAAAAATAAATCTTAAAAAAAAAAAATACAAAGGCAGAGCCGGCCCAGCCACAGCCTGAAGCACTGGCATCAGTTCGAGTCCCAGCTGTTCCCCTTCCAATCCAGCTCCCCTCTAATGCACCTGGAAAAGCAGCAAACGGCAGCCCAAGTCCCTAGGCTGCGGCTGCCCACACGGGAGACCTGGCATAGACTCCCGGCCCAGCCCACTCGCAACAGCCACACGGGGACTGACCCAGCGGGTGAAACACGTCCCTCTGTCTTTAAGTCTGCCCTTCCAATAAATAAATCTTAAAAAAAAAAAAAAAAAAAGGCATGGAGATAGACCCTCCCGGAATGTACTAACCAGGATGCGGCAAGGAGCCAGGCTTCCCGTGGCAGAGGCAGGAACCCAGGGCTGGACCCACCCCCTGCAGCACTCAAAGCCAGACGCCCAACACCCTCCCTCCCCCGGCGTGTGGGGGCTGGACAACACCATGCCACGTATGTCTCCATCCTCTGTGGGTGCATGGGAGAAACTAACTCCTCCAGAAATTAAGTGGTTTCAAAAACCCATCAAGGATTGGTGCTCTAACACGGCAAGTCTCCGAGACACCAGCACCCCACACAGGCCCCAACTGGTGCTGTGGCTTCTCCACTTCCGACCCAGCTCCCTGCTCACAGCCTGGAAAGCAGTGGAGGGCGGCCCAAGTGCTCAGGGCCTTCCCCGCATAGGAGACCTTCGGGCCAGCCCAGCTCCGGCCACTGCAGCCATCTGGACAGCTCACCAGCGAATGCAAGAACTCAGTCTTCTAACTCTACCTTTCAAATAAATATTTTAAAACTCATCAGTTGCCATTTGGTTTTATTTTATTTTAAAATTTATTTACTTTTATTGGAAAAGTGGATATACAGAGGAGAGACAGAGAGGAAGATCTTCCATCTGATGGTTCACTCCCCAAGCTGCTGCAACGGCTAGAGTTGAGCCAATCTGAAGCCAGGAGCCTCTCCCAGGTCTCCCACGTGGGTGCAGGGTCCCAAGGCTTTGGGCCGTCCTTCACTGCTTTCCCAGGCCAGACAGGGAGCTGGGTGGGAAGTGGGGCTGCCAGGATTAGAACCAGCACCCATATGGGATCCCAGCGCGTTCAAGGTGAGGACTTTGGCCACTCCATCGTGCTTGGCCCACCATTTGGTTTTAAAAAGCAGACTGAAACACAAAGCAATCTGAGGTTCATTCCTTGGTTTGACCTGAAAGAAACCTCTCATCCCGCAACTGACTGCACTAGGTTCACGGCGGGCACCCAGAGCCCCAGCCAGGCACCCTCTGGTGGCACAGGCACAACTACAGCAGCCCTTGGCAGCTGGAGCCCCCAGGGTGCCCAGCAGCAGGAGAATGGGTCAGAAAGACTTGAGGGCCTGTGTGACAGCTAATCCTCCGCCTCCAAGGGCAGGCATCCCATACACCGGTTCATGTCCCAGCTGCTCCACTTCCATCCAGCTCCCTGCCTGTGGCCTGGGAAAGCAGTCGAGGACGGCCCAAGCCTTGGGACCCTGAATCCACATGGGAGACCCCAGGAGGCTCCTGGCTCCTGGCTTCAGATCGGCTCAGCTCCAGCTGTTACAGCCACTTGGGGAGTGAACCAGCGGATGGAGGAGCTTTCTGTCTCTTGTGTCAATAGATATGCCTTTCTAATAAAAACAAATAAATCTTTGAAAAAAGTAAACAAGATTCAAAAACTAATAACAAACAACAGACAATTTTTACGCATGAGCCTCCAAGTCACCCTTGCCTCGGTGTCGTGTACCCCCGGCCAGAAGGCCACCTGATGTCCCTACGCGGGCAGCGACAGGTCTGCTCTGCACATGCACTGGCTAAGGACTGCAGTGTCCCACGAGTGTCAGAGCATACGAGCTGGCGATTGCCTGCCACGCAGTCCTGGCTTCAAGGAGGGCAAGAGGACCCCACTCCCCTTCCCTCCCATATTCAGTGTCGACCCGCAGGGTTCTTGGCTCCAGTGTCACTTTCCAAAATTCAGGCAAAGGGTCAGCGGGCAGCGACCCAGTGGATCCTGTGCCCAGTTCTGACAGCCACACGGCCAGTGCATCCCAAACGCCTGCCACACAGCACCCACAGCACACAGCACCACAGCATACAACACACAGCACCCACACCACACGGAACACAGCACCCACAGCACACAAAACACAGCACCCTCAACACACAGCACCCACAGCACACAGACACAGCACCCTCAGCATACAGCATCCACACCACACAGCACACAGCACCCACAGCACACAGCACCCACAACACACACAGTAACACCAAGAAAGGAACCTGGGTGACCAAAGGAACCTTGGTAACCATCTTGCCCCCAAAACTCAGTCTCTGGGGAAGATGCTCGGACAGAGACACACAGACAGACTCCAACATTCTGGAAAAGGCCGGCCTGAAGTCAACACGGGGCCCACACCCAGGGAACCCTGCAGGGAGAGGGGGGATCGTGGCGCGCAGCATCATGTGGCAGGTTAAGCCACTGCCTGGGATGCCCACTTGCTCTGCTGCCCACCCAGCCCCCTGCTACTGGCCCTGGAAAGGCAGCGACAGGTCCTGAACTAGGCCAGACTGCTGGCCTGGGCCAAGCAGTGGCTGCTGCAGGCATCTAGAGAGTGGACAAAGATGAACGGTCGGTGGGTTAGGCACTTCTTCCAAATCAATCCATCACACTAAAAAGAAATCAGGGGAACAAGAAGAAACAGCAAGACCCGAGTGCCCTGTGGATGCTGCGCGCCCTGGCCACACCGCCCACCGTTCCCCAAGTCGCGACCCTGCAGCTTACGGCTCAAGCTATCAAGTGTGACACCGATGCAACCAGCCAGCCTCAGTGCTCCACCCGATAGCCCACCTCGCGTGGCCCGCCTCGGGTGCTCCTCCCGACGGCCCACCTCACGTGGCCCACCTCAGCCCACCTCGCGCGGCTGAGAGCTTCAAGGACGCCCAAGGAGGCCGCCGGCTGGGCCTGGCTGACCGCGGGTCTCTAACCCCAGGCTCGCCACTGCTCGCGCACAGAGGCGGGCCGGTCCCAATGCCAGGCCCCGACCGCCATGCCCCGGGCACCCCAGGGCACACAGGCTCCCGCGACCCAGGCTCCTGTCCTGGGAAGCTGCGGGGAGAAGCAGCTGCCGGAGGAGCTCCACCTTTCAGAAGCCCCGACCGCAGGAAGGTGCCTGTAGCCTCGCTCCTCCGCCGCGCACCTTTTCCACAAACCCCAGGGCGCAGCACAGCCTACAGCAAACGCCCGTGCTCCTTGCATTTCCTGAGCGGGGCGGGGGCCCCGAGGCCAGACCTCCGCACGCCCCCGGCACGGGCCGCCGGGCAGAGCACACAAAGGCCCGCAGCCCACTCCCCGCCAGGCGGCGGCCGGGGGGAAGCTCCCCGGGGAGGGGTCGGCACCCGGAACCCCAATTCCCACACCGCGCCGCTCTGCTCACCTCCCGGGCGTCCCTAGGGCGGGGTGGGGGTGGGGAATAGACCAAGAACCCCAACCGGTCCAGGGGACAGCTCCAGGGCCTCCCCGCAGCAGCAGCGTCCACGCCGCCTCGGCCGGAAAGCGCAGCCCCGCTCCCGGGCAGCGGGATCCCGGGGCCCGGTCGGGCTCCCCGCCGGCCGCCCCCCACCCGCCAGGCTCCATCCCTGCGCGTCCTGCGGCTCCCGGGCCCGCCGGCCCGCATCCCCCCCGAGGCCCGCGGGCACGGCGCGCGCCGCCCGCTCCCGGGCGCGGCCCCCACGCCGGGCCCACCCGCGCCGCCACCTGCCGGGGCCCGGGCCGCCGCCGGCGTCCAGCCCGGCCCGCAGGGCGCGCCCCGCCGCCCGGGCCCTCGCACAAAGGCCGGCCCGGCGGGCGCGGGAACAAAGGCGGCCGCCCCGCCGGGCCCACGGCACAGGTGCAGCCCGCGGCCCGCCGGGCCCAACATGGCCGCGCCCGCCCCGTTAGCCGCCGCCGCCGCCGCGCCCGCCCGCGCCCCGCCGCCCGCCGCGCCCCCGGCCCGCCCCGCCGGCCGCCCGCCGCCTCCCCGGCCCGCACTGACCTGAGGCGCGCCGCATCCTCCGGGGCGGCCGCGGGCGGCAGGGGGCGGCGGGCGCAGCGGCCAGGCCCAGGCTCTCCGCGCGCGGCGCCGACCCCGCCCCCGCGCCTCCCGCCCGCCGCCCCGCGCCGGGGCCGCCGCCGCCTCGCTCAGCCGCGGGAAAAGTGCGCGCCGCTGATTGGCTGCCGCGCCCGGCGCCCGCGGACCGGGCTTTTCAAATCCGCGCCGGGGCCGCGCGCGCGCGTGTCGGGCGGGCCGGGCGGGCGGGCGCGCGGGCGGGAGGCTCCCGGGCCGGCGGGGCGGCGGGCGGCGGGCGGGCCACGTTGGGACCCCGCGCCACCGCTGGGCACCGGCCTCGGGCGCGCGCCCCGCTGCCGCTACTCGCCGAGCGCGCGCGCCTGGTGGGGGGGCGAACCCGCGCGCGGAGCCGCCGCGCGCCCTGACGTCACGGCCGCGCGCCCAATCGCCGGCGGCCTCCGGGGCGCGTGGGCGCGCGGCCGCGAGGGTCAGCGGAGCGGGAGGCCCCCCGCCAGGCCGCGTCGACCCGCACACGCACGCGGAGACCCGGGCGCGGCGCGAGGCCCAGGGGCCGCGGGCTTTGGGGAGCCTCCCGGGGGCGCCTGGCTCCCCACGCACACCCCAGCGCGATGCTCCCCGGAGGCCGCGGCGCTACCGCCACCCCGCCCCACAGAAACCCCCAACTCGCGTCTCCTTCCTCCACGCAGCCCCCAGGACTCCCCCCATGCCTAGGCCAGGCCCAAACCCAGAGCCCAGAATGCAACTCGGGCCTCCCGGGCGAGGCGGGGACCCAGGCAGCAGCAGGACGCGGTCCTGGCCCACACGCCCAGTGCCCGGCACCTGTCTGCTGCTGCCATCAGGGGACCAATGCCGCGGTCCCCCGTTCAGCTGCCAGGCCGCCGCCCGCAGCACCGGCATCCCGGATGGGCACTGGTTCCAGGCCGGGCACTTATGGTCCAGCTCCCTGCTGATGTGCCTGGGAAAGCAGCAGAGGACGGCCCCGAGCTCGGCCAGCACCCACGTGGGAGGCCTGCAAGAGCTGCGTCCTCCGCTGCCCTCCCAGGCCACAAGCAGGGAGTTGGATGGGAAGGGAAGCAGCAGGGACACCAATCAGCACCCACATGGGATGCCAACCCCACAGCCTCATTAAAAAAAAAAAAAAACACTTATTTTTCCATCCAAATATCTGGCTTATGTGAATGCATCCCAAGCGTGCAAGTGTGTGGGCTTCCTTGAGTAAAGCTGCTGGGGCCGGGGTCCCCAGCTCACACCGGAGGCCTCGCCCCAGAACTGGTGGGGAGGGTGAGACCCCAGGGGCCCGAGGCTGTGTGGGTGGGTCTCCCGCGAGGAGCCTTAGGACGGCAGCTCTGGGTTGAGAACTGCAGCCGGCCTGTCCACCACCCCCGGTGCTCGTGGTCTCACGTGCAGCACCGCTGCCGAAGGAGCCCCCTCCCCATGCCCCCGGCTCGGCCTCCTCCTCCCCATCCCCCTTGCCGTGGCTGGGGTCCCTGAGGGGCCAAGCCCGCAGCTGTTTCCATGGGGATGCGTGCACTCTGACCCCAGCCTTTCTCCAGCCCAGGACAAATAAAGAAGGCTTCCAAGTGGAAACCGCCATGGCAGGCCGCCCCTCCTCCTGTGCCCCAGGTGGCCAAGCCTGCCCCCCCCACCAGCGAGCCCTTCCCGGAGGCCCCTGCACCCGCTGACCCCCTCCACCCTGCTGACTGCAAAGCCGGGTTTTCCCAAGGCCTGGCCCTGCCCCGGCCTCCCTCACCCAAGCCGAAAAGCCACTTCGGTCGGGAAGGGGCGTGGGAGCCGACCGGGCCCGCGGGGAGACAGACGGGTGGGCTCCCAACCGGGCTGCGAAGCCCGGGGAGCTGAAGGCGAAGGGTGTGGGGGCCCCAGGCCCCCTCCCGGGCCTCCGTGGCTGCCCTCTCGGGGCTTCGCCGCCGACTTGGCTCCCTCCGGGGGCGGCGGCCACCCCGCGGGCTCCATCCTAGGCTGACCACCTCTACAAAGACCCTATTTCCACATAACGTCACACTCCTCACCCTACCGGGGTTGGGACACGCACACCTCGAGGCAGGCCCCGCCTGGCCCTCGGTGCGGGCAGGCGGGCAACGTTGCTGCCCCCGCGGCCAGCGCGGGCCCGGGGGTTAGGGACCTGGCGCGCCCCGCCCGTTCCGGCTCCGCCCGCGCCCCGGGGCGCGCGCTCGGGCTCCCTGGGGAGGAAGGCGGGCTGTCTAGGACCGCGCTGCCCGTCCAGGGCAGCGTTTCCGCTGGGGAGAGACTGTTTTGTGTTAAAGAAGTTATTTTTCTCATTATGAAAACAGCAGGAGGAGAAAATTAAAAGTTCCTCCTCCTGGTGCCGGCAGAGCGCCCGTTGGGGGAGCTACTTCCGGCCACTCCTCTAGGACCTGCTGACCACCTAGGGCACCCCCGGCGCCAGGGCCTGCCCTGCCTCCCGCCTAGCAGCAGGTGAGGCCTCAAAGCCTTAGGTGCTGGCCGCTCCAGCTCCTGCTCCCAGCCTGGCCCTTGGCGCCATCTGGGTGAACCGGCACATGGAAAATCCATCTCTCTTTTTGTCACTCCTTTTCAAATAAATAAGTCTTCCAAAAAAAAAAAGTGCAAACGTTTTATTGTAGTCATTTTACAATGACTTAAAATTTGCAAGATGGGGCTCAGCACGATGGCTCAATTGCCAAATCCTCACCTGCCAAGCGCCAGCATCTCACATGGGCGCCAGTTCGGGTCCTAGTGGCCCCACTTCCCATCCAGCTCCCTGCCTGTGGCCTGGGAAAGCAGTCAAGGACGGCCCAGAGCCTCGGGACCCTGCACCCATCTGGGAGACCCGGAAGAGGCTCCTGGCTCCTGGCTTTGGATCGGCTCAGCTCTGGCGGTTGCAGCCACTTGCCGATTGAACCAGCAGACAGATCTTTATCTCTGTCTTTCCTTTCTGTAAATCTGACTTTCCAGTAAAAATAACTAAATCTTTTTTTTTTTTTTAAGCGGCAAGACATCAGAGGCCCCACATGTGGCCCAGACACCAGGAGCCAGGCCACAAGGCGGGCAGCATCCTACGGCTGCCTGTCTTCCACAGAAGCCTGCCTCCAGTCAGCTGCGGGGTTGGGAGGGACCCACAGCCAACATGGGTTATATCGTGGGGTGAGTGCGTGGAGCCAAGGGCCAGGGCTGCATCACGCCTCCCACACCTGGCTAACAAGGCGTGAGGAACTGGGGACTCCACCCACGGGGAGACCCAGAGGAAAGCCCTGGTTTCTTGCTTCTGCCTGTTGCAGGCCCAGCCACTGTGGCCATTGTGGGGACCTATGGCTGGGAGATCTCTACCACTCTGTCATCTTTATTTCTGCCTTTCAAATCAATGAATCCTAGCGGAAAAAGGGAACAGCTTGCGATATTCAAACCACACAAAAGACAGCCACTGACTGGAGCCTTCGGGGCCAGGTGTCTTCATGCAGTTTAAAAAGATTCACTGTTTATTTGAAAGGCAGGGTGACGGGGTGGGCAGGAAGAGACAGCTATCCTTCCCCGCATGTCCCAATGCCTGCGCCATCCAAGGCCGAGCTCAGCTAAAGCCAGCAGGCCTGAACTCTGCCCAAGGTCTCCCACGTGAGCAGCAGGGACTTCAGCACCCGAGCCACCATCCCAGGTCTCCCCCCACGCCCCCCACAGGTGCACCAGCAGGACACTGACCTGGCAGCATGGCGCAGGCAGGCCTTCTGGCATGGGCTCCAGTGTCTCCCGGGCGTCTACTGGCTGGCACTCGGCGCTCACCGGCCTGGGCTCCAGTGTCTCCCGGGTGTCTGCTGGCTGGCACTCGGCGCTCACTGGCATGGGATTGCCAAGCAGCCCACCCCAGTGCCCCCACGAGGCCTGCCACCAGACTTTCCATTTCTTCCAACTGGAAATGCACACACTACACACAAACTCGGGCTCATCGGGAAACCCACAAGAAACCATCTCTGACTAACCCTAACCCTGAAATATGAATTTCTCTCATTTCTGCCCTGGCTACATCCCTCTCTGTCCCACGCAGCGCACCTGACCACTCTGGCCCCAGTCCTGGCCCTGTCTACACTGGCGCTGACCCTGCCTGCCTGCCCCTCTGCCAAGTCCCAGCCCGACTCCTAATGTCCCACAGGGAGTCGCTGCACCGCACACCCGGCACACGTGCGACCTACTGGGCGAGAGCTGTGTGCTGGGGGAGCTGGGCCGCCAGGCAGAGTGCAGATTCACACCGGGGAACGAGAGAGACGCGGAGGGAGCGAAGAGACAAGAGTTCCCGAGGCGAGGTCCGAGGGCGCGCCCCAAGCCACCTCTGCCAAGGCCAGCGCACCTTAGGGAGCAAGGAGGGGCCCAGAGGCCGCGCAGGGAGTGAGGCAGCCCGGCCAGGCCCTGGGAGCGGCGCGAGCCCACACGGCCTGTCCTGCAGGCCCAGCAGCCGCTCACGACTCCGCGGCCTCCTGAACGCGTCTGAACGCGGGGATCGAACCCGCGAGCTCCACCGCCGCTGCCGCCGCCGCCGCCGCTGCCACAGAGCATGCGCGGGCGGCTCGTTGAGCGGGCCGGGCGACGGGAACCTCGAGGTGCACGCCGGGACCTGTAGTCCGCAGGCCTGCCGCCCGGGGCCCGCCGGGACTTGCAGTCCGCAGGCCGGCCGCCCGGGGCCCGCCCCTCACCTGCCGGCCGCCGGCACCGGAGGCCCAATGGGAGCGGCCTTCGGGCCGCCGGCCCCGCCCCGCCTCTCGGCCGTCCGCGCCGTTGCATGGCTGCCGCCGGGTCCCGGAGCTGAGCGCCGCCCGAGCCGGAGCACCGGGAAGCCGCCGCAGCGCGCCCGACAGCCGCGGCCGGGCGCATGGCGTCCATCTTACTGAGGGGCTGCCGCGGCCGGGCGCCGTCCCGCGCCGCCGGCCCGAGGGGTGAGCGCGGGGCCGGGGCCGGACGGCCGGGAGGGCCGGGAGGGCCGGGAGGGCCGGGGCGGCGTGCGGGCGGCGGGGCGCGGCGTGCGGGCGGCGGGGCGCGGCCTGGCCTGGGCCGCCGGCTCCCCGGCCCGCACCGACGGCGGGAGTGAGGGCCGCGGAGCGGTGCGGGCCCGGAGCTGCCGCGGCCGCTCGTGCGTGTGCTCACCCGGCTTCCGGGGAGGCTGCCCTGGTCGGCACCGGGCGCGCCCGTCCGGCGGGCAGCGGTTCCTGGTGACCTTGGCAGGCTGAAGGGCGGCAGGGCCTCGGGCTGCCGAGGGGCTGGGGGTGCTGCGGGGTTGGGTGGCGGGCGGGCGCCCGCAGGCGCGAGCAGGGACCGGGTGGCAGCCACCGGCCCGGGCTGACCCCACCCTGGCCTGAGCTGCCTGCCGGGCAGGGCCGGGAGGAACTGAGTCAGGAGAAGCGGGGCAGGGCGGGTGAGCTGCCCTCCGACCCGCAGGGAGGGCCCTGCCCGGGCAGCTCGGTCTGCTGGCGGGGGGCCAGGCAGGTGCGGTAGGTACACGGGCCCTCGGTCTTTGTCCCTTGCTGATACAGAGCGGGGCACGGCTGGCTACCCCCAGGTGTGGCAGGCTGAGGCAAGGGGTAGGCCTGGGGGAGTGCCCGGGCTGGCCGCCATCCCGTGCCCCTCACAGCCTGCGGGGAGGAAGCGCGCTGTGGGTGTTCCCTGTCACCCAGCCCCAGCTGGAGCTGAGCTGATTTGAAGCCAGGAGCCTCTTCCGGGTCTCCCACGTGGGTGCAGGTCCCAAGGCTTAGGGCCGGCCTCCACTGCCTTCCCAGGCCACAGGCAGGGAGCTGGATGGGAAGTGGGGCAGCAGGGCCGTGGCCACAGTGCAGGTCTGTATGTGGCATCATTGTGGGCACTGGGATGGGCTGAGGAAGTGTTGGATCCCAGTTAGAGAGTTCGTTGGAGCTGGGGGAGGCACAAGAGACCACCGCTGGGATGCCTGGGCAGCTGCAGGCAGAGCCCTCAGAGGGGCTTGGGGGGTTCTTGGGATGGGAGCTGATGGGGCGTTAGGAGGGGACACAGGGAGCTGAGAAAGTCCACTGCCTCAGGTGGTGGGAGAGGGGCGTTGAAGGAGCAGGCTGGCCCAGGCTGGGCATGTGGGATGGACTGAGCAGAGGCTGGGGGCGGTCCTGCTGTGCGTGAGGGTAGGGGATAAGGTGCCTTTGACTGTGACTTCAAATGTAACCTGAGTAAGAATGTAGCTATACAGGTGCTAGAGAGCCTGGCCAGCTCCCCCAGCCAGGCGTCCACCCAGCTCTCCTCACTGCCAGCCATCTCTTCTGGATGTGGTACCTTGACCCCTTAACAGAGAATGGCCACAAATGCTTATGGGATTGGAGCAAGTTGAGCAAAACATGCGACTCCTCCAGGTGGGCCACGCGGCTTCCTCCTGGCTGGCTGTGCAGCCTCCCCCGGCCGTCGAGTCCCACTTGCCACCAACCCTCAGCCTCCCTTGTCTGCAGCCTGACCGCCCCGACCTGAGCCAGCTGAAGTCCATGGGGAGCAGGCCCACCCAGAGGGGCCTTCAGGGGCCCACATCCCACGCAGGGTGCACAGACCCAGGGACTGCCTGAGGAGCCCCTAGGTGCTGCAGGGCCACCTGATACTCGGGCAGACCCTTAGCAACACTCTGAAACCGGCTATGGGCAAGGCCACCAGCAGCTTGGCCACCTGGAGTCTATACAAGGGCTGTGAAGATTTGGTCCATCCCAAAAGCGGAGGGACCGTCCCTCTGCTGGCCTGCGCCTCATGCCTGCGACAGCCAGGGCCGGGCGCCCACGGGGTGTCCCCAGGGTGCACTCGGGCCGTCCTCCGCTGTTGGCCGTGTGACTCGCAGGGAGCTGGGACTCCAACACGCTCCTATGTGGGATGCCGGCGTTGCGGATTGTGGTCTGACTCTCCATACCGAATGCCAAGTGGAGACTGACTGGCCTCTCTGTCTGTCACAGGTGGCCTGATGGGCCGTGCCTGCCTCAGCTGTCCCAGCGCCGTGGGGCTGGTGAACTGCGCGTGAGTACGCAGTGCCTAGGGCGGGATGGGAGGCGCGGGCAGGCTGCCCCTCAGCCATTTGGGGTCCTTGTTTGGTCTTGGAAGCTGCAACACCACGTGCTCCTCAATCCGCAGGCCGTTCACCTGAAGTGCCTTATAGCCAGTGCTGTCAGCACACTTGCCTTTGTCTGCAGGGCAGAGAGAGACCTTCCACCGTTTTGTCACTCCCCACTTGCCCATAACAGTCAGGACTGGGCCCGCTGAAGTCAGGAGCCCAGGACGTGAATTAGGGCTCCCGCTGGGATGCCGGGGCCGAGGGCAGCATCTTGCCCTGGCCATGGCCCGCCCCGTGTTTCTGACTGCTGACAGGCACACCTGCCCGTTTGCAGTGCACTGTCGGCAGACCATGGGCAGCCCTCCTGGAGGGGCGGCTGGCTGGCAGGAGGCATCTGGGGTGTGCTGGGCCCAGCCTGCACTGTGGTGCCCACCTGGCAAGGACATTGTAACCTAGCTGTGGTGCTGCCGGCAGCTGGGGCTGCCACCCAGCACGCCCCCCAGCCTGGGCCCCCGTGGAGGATCCCTCCGCTGGCCCCAGGGGGACCGCTTTAGGATGTCGCTGTGCCACCTGAGGCAGGTGGGGCAGCCTGAGCTAAAACCCCGGAGCGTGCCCAGCCACTGCTTGCAGTGCCAGCTCCCACGTCACAGTGAGCTTGTGAACTGACTGCCTGTTCCCGCACCTGGAAATGTGGGAGAGGCTGGCTTCTGCTGGGGCCCCAGTGCCCATGGGAGACCCGGTAGCGCTCTGGACTCCTGGCCACAGCCTGGTCCTGCTCATTGAAGCCATTCATAGAGTGGGTGCAAGATATGTTTGTTCACACACAGCCCACTAGCTGCCTTTCAGATATATAAACTTTTAAAAAAGGAAAGAGACTCCCAAAACTAGGAGCTGAGCCTACTAAAGAGTGCCTAGCAGGGCACTGGGAGCGGCAGCGGGGCCCGGGACAGAGAGCAGGTAGCTGGACGCTGAGCCGGGGCCTCCTAGAGCCGTGTGGACACTGAGCCTTGCCCATGTCGCAGTGCGCAGATGGGGAGGGCAGGGGCAGTCAGAGGGGCTCGGGCCAGCTGTGGCAGAGCTGGAGAAGTGGGTCCCGGGGTGTGCTGTGGCTCCCACAGTCAGCAGTGTGTGGGGCTGAGTCAGCCAGGGCCAGAGTGCAGGAGTCAGGGGCTGGCCGGCTGCATCCGTGTCCACCTGTGACCGGTGGGTCCCCCACACTCCTCTGGGGGATCCCAGGAGGTAGAGGCTGAAGGAAGGAAGGAAGGGCACCTGTGTGTGGCTGTGGCGCAGCTGGCATTTGGTGCTGAGCAGGGAGACAGGCCGGCCCCTCACTGCCACTTTCCTTCTCCAAGGAATGTTCCACGGGGCTGCTGTGCGCTGGCCCACCCCTCGCACCTTCCCTTCCGAGGCGAGCACCTCAGCCCGTGGACTCCGCGGCTCTGGCCACCAGGCACAGTGGGCAGGGCTCTGTGGGCGCCGGCCGCGGCAGGCTCCCTGGTGGTGGGACCCTGGCACCTGGCGGTGCGCGCCTGGCACTCCTCGCGTCCCCTGGCCGAGGACTCGGTGGTGGAGAAGTCGCTCAAGTCCCTGAAGGACAAGAACAAGAAGCTGGAGGAGGGCGGGCCTGTGTATAGCCCCCCGACGCCCGTGCCGGAGAGAAAGTCCCTGGGGCAGAAGGTGCTGGACGAGCTGAGACACTACTACCACGGCTTCCGCCTGCTCTGGATCGACACCAAGATCGCAGCGCGCATGCTCTGGCGCATCCTGCATGGCCACACGCTCTCTCGCCGGGAGCGCAGGCAGGTACGGGCGCCTCCTGCACCCAGATCCACGGCCTGCGGCTTTGGGTAAAGGACGCGAAGATGATGGAACTGTGAACGCGCCGCCCAGTATGCCACCAGGCCCTGGGGGCCAGCGTCAGCCCTGCCCCGTGTCCTCCTGGTGCCCTGGCCTTGATGTGGGGGGACAGATCCTTGAGTGGGAGTCTGGGTCTGTTTGAGTTATGTTTACCTGGTAGTTTGCCTGGTCTTTTTTTTTTTTTTTTTTTTTTTTTAAGTTTTGTTTACTTATTTGAAAGGCAGTGGTACAGAGAGAGAGAGAGAGCTTCCATCCGCTGGTTCACTCCCCAGAGTGCTGCACTAGCATGGGCCAGGCCACAGCCGGAGCTTCTTCCCGGTCTCCTGGATGACTGGCAGGGCCCAGGTACTCGAGCTGTCCTCCGCTGCTTTCCCAGGTGCCTTAGCAGGAAGCTGAATCAACTGCAGGCAGCAGCTTTCCATGCTGTGTCTCCTCCATGCTCCTGTCCCCCAGCAGTGGCAGGTCGGCAGGATGTTGGGCTGTGGGGGACCCCAGCAGAGTGCCTGTGTGTCACAGAGCTGGCTCCTCACCCCAGCCCCCAGCTGTCGTGCACCGCAAGAGGAGCCTGGTGACAGCTTAAGTCCTGTCTGTCACACACAGGAGACCTGGCTGGAATCAGCCTGGCCACTGCAGCCCCGGCATCCCGTGAGGGCACTGGTGCAAGTCTCACAGCTCCGCTTCTGACCCGCTCCCTGCTAAGGCACCCGGGGAGGCAGTGCAAGATGGCGTCAGTGCTTGGGTCGCTGCAGCCGCAGCGCAGGCCTCGCCTCTGGCTCCTGCAGTCACTGGGGGTGGAGGGCTGACCCCATAATAATGAAGAAAAGCTGGTGCATCAGTCTGTGCCTGCGGAGCTCCGAGGCCTGCGCCCACACTGCCGCCCTCCGCCCTGCAGTTCCTCCGCATCTGTGCAGACCTCTTCCGCTTGGTGCCCTTCCTAGTCTTCGTGGTGGTGCCCTTCATGGAGTTCCTGCTGCCTGTGGCCGTGAAGCTCTTCCCCAACATGCTGCCGTCCACATTTGAGACCCAGTCCATCAAGGTGGGGGAGGTGGGGTGACGCCGTGGGGCAGGGGTCCTCCCGCAGCTGCTGCTGGCTGGGCAGGCTCAGCAACAGGGCTTGAGGAGCAGGGGCCACCGTGGCCAGCAGTCCTGTCCTGTTGCCCCGCAGGAAGAGAGGCTGAAGAAGGAGCTGCGGGTGAAGCTGGAGCTGGCCAAGTTCCTGCAGGACACCATCGAGGAGATGGCGCTGAAGAACAAGGCAGCCAAAGGCAGCGCCGCCAAGGACTTCTCGGCCTTCTTCCAGAAGGTGCTGTGGGCCCTCTGCACGTCTTCCCACTGCCCTTTCTGCTGGCAGCTGCTGCCTGGGGGTGACGGGGAGCCCGCCTTTGCCAAGACCCAGATGGCTGCCCCTGGTGGCTCGGCAGCAGCCAGGAGGGGAGAGGGCTAACAGGCCGCTATGGCCCCTGGGCTACGGTGGGGAGGGGGCTGTGTCACTCTCAGAAGGCAGACCTGCTCTCTGGGTGATGGCTATGGTGCTGGCCAGAGCCCAGGGGGCTGCCGTCTGGGGCCGCCTCCCAAGGCAGACGCCTTGCTGCCACCGTGGCTGCTGCATGGGGCAGCTGCTGGTGCCCAGTGCATGGGCGGAGCCCTTGGGGCACAGGTGCTCCTCTCTCTGACCTCTGCTGTGGCCCATCTGGCCCACGTGGACACCGTGTGGCTTGTTCGTGAGTGGGAGGAGGCAGTGACGCTCACCAGCCCCCGTGGCTCCCCCTCTTCCTGGGGGCAGTAGGCTGGAGCTTGAGATGGCTGGCCAGTCGGCGGCCGTGTCCCGCAGACCCTCACAGTGGGAGCTGCCAGCTGGCCCCCTGCTGAATAGTTGGGAACCCCCCCAGGCAGTTCTAGTTCTCGCTGTGCTGTGCGGGGTGGGAGGGAGCCCAGGGCCCTCTGCTTGTTCCTGCAGGTGTGGGGTGACCGGGCCCGTTGCTTCTGTAGATCCGAGAGACCGGGGAGAGGCCCAGCAACGAGGAGATCATGCGTTTCTCCAAGCTCTTCGAGGACGAGCTGACGCTGGACAACCTGACGCGGCCGCAGCTCGTGGCGCTGTGCAAGCTGCTGGAGCTGCAGTCCATCGGCACCAACAACTTCCTGCGCTTTCAGCTCACCATGCGGCTGCGCTCCATCAAGGCTGATGACAAGGTGCGGCCGCAGGGCAGCGGAGGGCACGGGGCAGCACAGGCAGCCTTGGCATGGCCTTGACACAAACCCCTCAAACGGTGCTGTGAGGCGGGCATCTGGCAAGGGGTACTGGCAGGCAGCAAGCGATCAGCCGTGGGTGCCGGCACAGGGTGTGGGTGGGGAGGTGCCACAGGGATGGTCAGCTCCCCCGGCTTGCTGCAGACACACCCCTGCGGGCAGCAGGCGCTGGCCTCTCCCCTGCCCATGCGGCACCCAGAGATTGGCCAGCAGGTGGAAGCTTGGACTTCCAATCAATATGAAAATGGTGGTTAAAGTACAAAAGACAGCGTGAAGACCAGAGAGAAGCAAGGCCGCGGGCCTGAGGGATGAGCCGCCCGCTCAGAGCCCTGCCAGGAGGAGGGACAGGGAGCTGCCAGCCCCAGCGGGCCCCAAGGGAGGGCCTGGCGCTTCCCTGACTACATGGCAATGCTGAGGACGGTAAGGACATGCTCCCAGACTGCGGGGCCGGGGACTGTCCTCCCTGTCGCTGGTGTGAGCCCAGTGGCTGAGGCCAAGTGAGAGCTTGGTGCAGTTCTGGGTGAGCAAGGGGCACCCCAAGAGCCTGGGATCTGCGGGCAGAATCCTTCACTTCCCTCGGAGTACTGCACAGGAGACAAAGGACAGCAGCCTGGCTGCGTTGGGTTTGGTTTGGAGGAGATGTTTTATTTCTCTAAAAGGCAGAATTCCAGGCCTGGAGATGGGGAGACAAACAGGTCTTTCATCCGCTGACCCACTTGCCAAGTGTCTGGGGCTGTGCTAGTCCAGGGAGCCAAGAGCTTCTTCCGGTCTCCCCCATAGGTGCAGCGGTCCATCCGCTGCTGCTTTCCCGGGCCATTAGGGAGCTAGATCACAAGTGGAACAGCCAGGATTCGAACTGGCTTCCACACAGGCTACCAGCATTTCAGGCAATGGCTTAATGGCTATGCCACAGAACCAGGCCCCTGCAGCCTCGGTCTTTTTTTTTTTTTTTTTTTCCTTAAAGGTGTGTTTATTATAATTGAAAAGTCAGATATATAAAGAGGAGGAGAGACAGAAAGGAAGATCCCCTGTCCGCTGATTTATTCCCCAAGCAGCCGCTACAGCTGGAACTGAACTGACCTAAAGCCAGGAGCCAGGAGCTGCTTCTGTGTCTCCCACGCAGGTGCAGAGTCCCAAGGCTTTGGGCCGTCCTCTACTGTTTTCCCAGACCACAGGCAGGGAGCTGGGTGGGAAGCAAGGCTGCTGGGATTAGAACCCAGTGACCATATGGGATCCCGGCACGTGCAAGGCGAGGACCTTAACCACTACGCTATTGCGCTGGACCCATGCAGCCTCATTCTTAATGTGCAAACTGGAAACCCCAGGTGTCCTTCCCTGGTGGACAGCTGCTGCTGGACATGCTGTAGGGATGGCTCTGTTGTCCTACAGCACTGCAGTGCAGTGGGTGCCTCCGAGGGCCCTGGTGCAGCCATGCATTGGGTGACTCTGGGTCCTAACCCTGAGGACCGGCAGAGGCTGCCGTCTGCCCCAGGGATAATGCTGCCGCCGGGAGCTGCCTGGCTTCCCCACGGCGGCCTGCCCACTGCTCTCTCCTCACCTGCCACTCCTGGGAGTCTCCTAAGGCAGAGAGGAGGCCACCTTGAGTGTGAGGCCAGACGTCCCATACCAGGGTCACATGGGGCTCCTCAGGCTGGCAGGGCTCTGGCAGGGGACGGGGGTCATGTCTCCCACTGTGCCTGCCCCGCAGCCCCGCCCTTCTGGCGGTCTGGCAGTGACACCAGCTGGTTCTGTGTTGCAGCTCATTGCCCAGGAAGGGGTAGACAGTCTCACCGTGAAGGAGCTGCAGGCAGCGTGCCGGGCCCGGGGCATGCGGGCTCTCGGCGTCACCGAAGACCGGCTGAGGGACCAGCTGAAGCAGGTGCGTGGCCAGGCCAGGCTCCCTGGCCCTCCCTCCTCGGCTGGCAGGGCCCTGATGGTTTCTCTCTGCCCCTGGTTCGTTGTAAAGGCTTCGTTCACCTTGTTGATATGTTCCGGCGAGGCAGGGGTTGGTGTCCCTGGAGGTCCAGGCAGGGGCCCACTTGGGAGCCGCCCGCTGGCTCAGCACCCTCAGAGCAGGCACGCGCGCACAGGCAGTGCCAGGTGTGTGGCACGGGATTGTGTTGGGGTTGACTGGCATCCATCTACACTGCGAGGCTGCAGTTCGGGCCCTTTGTGGCTCGCGTCCTGCCTTCTGCATGGGCAGGAACAGTGTGCACAGAGTGAATGGGACCTTCTCCAAGGGGATCCCCGTGTCTGTCTCGGGGTACCAGCCCCGCCAGACGCTGCTCCTGCTCTGGGCAGGTTTGTGCAGACAGTGCTGACCAGGGCTCCACGGCTGGACTTGCCACCCCATGTGAAGGCGTCCCTCACAGGTGGCCGTGGTGTGTGGAGCCAGCAGGGGGCACTGCTGTGTTTGTGCCCATTCGAGGACTGTCCTGGTGCCAGTAAAACAGCTCGAGACACATAGGCCTGTGGGAACCTTGTGCCCATTCCCACTCTTGCTGAAGGCACCCAGGGGGCCTCTGCTTGTTCCCCGGGGGGGGTCTCCCGGTGGGCAGCTGTGCTGCACGAACCCTGGACAGGGAGGCTTCCGACTGACCCGTGTGCTGTGGCCGAGCTGATGGGCCTTAGGACCCACAGGGCAAACATCGGGGCTTTGTGGGGCTCTCTGTTGCACCTCCTCCCCACAACCAACCCAAACAGCAAAACAAAGTTCCACAGAGAAAGCCCAGCTCCACCTGATGGGAGATGTGGGAGCTGGGACAGGAAGTGTGTCCATGAGTGTGGGGTCAGCACAGGAAGTGTGTGTCCGTGGGTGTAGGGGTTGGGGCAGGGAGGGTGTGTCCGTGAATGTGGGGCCAGGACAGGCAGTACATGTCCGTGGGTGTGGGGTCAGGACAGGCAGTGCGTGTCCGTGGGTGTAGGGGTTGGGGCAGGGAGGGCGTGTCCTTGAGCCTCCGTCTTTGGTTCCAGTGGCTGGACCTGCACCTGCACCAGGAGATCCCCACGTCCCTGCTCATCCTGTCCCGAGCCATGTACCTCCCCGACACCCTTTCTCCTGCTGACCAGCTCAAGTCCACACTGCAGACTCTGCCCGAGACTGTGGTATGCATTGTCCCATGCACAAGTGGGGGCGGGCCACCACGGCAGTGCCCCAGAGCCCCTGGCTGTGCTCCTTGTCTCCTTGGTCTGTCTGAGCTTGCTGGGCTGCCTGGAGAGGTGGTGTTAGTATCTTCCCTCTGAGTCTGCAGGAATCTGGTAGCCACAGAAGGCCACCCCAGGGTGGTCCAAGGTGGGGCATCTGGCATGAGCACTCTCAGAGGTCGGGGGGCTGCACGGGCCGCTCTCACCGCCCCGCTATCCCTGACAGGCCAAAGAAGCCCAGGTGAAGGCAGCGGAAGTGGAGGGCGAACAGGTGGACAACAAGGCCAAACTGGAGGCCACACTGCAGGAGGAGGCGGCCATCCGCCAGGAGCACCGTGAGAAGGAGCTGCATGAGGCCGCGCAGGCAGCCGAGGCCATGGTGAGCAGCTGAGCTCCCGGCTCCCTGCAGGCCTGGGACACAGCCTGGCCACACCCCTGCCTCCTGGTGCCCGCCTGAGACATACTGCTCAGGGACACAGCCATCCCCACGGCCTGCACCTGGGCCCCTGCCCTGTGGCCAGCACACACACACCGTATGGGCCCACGCAAGCTGCCGTGGGCCAGGGATACACTTGTGCCTTTCAGAAGGACACGCCACTGGAAGAAGCAGAAGCCGCCCCCGGACGGCCAGACATGGAGCCTAAGCTGGAGGCCCCTGAGGTGACCCTGCCGTCCGAGGTGCTCAAGGACACGGCCCCTGTGCTGGAAGGCCTGAAGGTGAGTAGGACGGGTGGCCTGGGCTCTGGGCGGTGGCAAGCAGAGCTGAAGACGGGCCCTAGGCGGCCGGGAGCAGGCAGGCTACACTCTGGGCACGGGCTCCAGAGCTGATGGTGCTGTGTGCTGGGCACCATGCCCCTGGGGCCTCGGCCCCATCAGCCCTCCTGGACGTGTGTGCCTTGCTTGCTTCTCCCCTGTGGTGCTCTCTGCCAGCCCAGAGCCTTCCCCAAGCCCATGTGGCATTGCCTGCCGGGCCCCTGGGCAGGCATTGGTCCTGCGGGCTCTGTCCTTGACTCCAGAGCCCCTGTGCTGCCATCACCCACAGGATAACTCGGGGTGCAGAGGACAAAGGAGGGCTGAGGTCCTGAGCCTGGAGCAGCTCCTTGGGGGTGCTGGGAGGACAGGGTTCCCCCCTGCTGGTCATCCTGAGCCCTGCATCTCACATGTGACAGTGCAGGCCAGGAGGGGACCCCTGGGTGGCAGTTCTCTTGGGGATCTTGACCAAGGTGGCTCAAAGAAGGGGGGCCACGCGCTCTTCCAGAAGTCAGCCTGGAAAAGGGGTACAGAGTTGGGGTGGGCCAACAATACAGGCTTCTGGAAGGTTCCATGAGAATAGGGCAAGATGTCTGCTGGCGCTGGGGCAGCAGTGACTCCTCCATGAGATCAGGGTTCAGAAGGGCGGGAGACAGTTCTCAGGAAGAATTAATTTGATGATTTGTTGAAGAATAGAGTGACAGAAAGGGTGAGTTTTTCTCCCCGATTGACACCCAAAATGGCTATGGCACCAGGAATACAAGTGTCCCATGGGGGTGCAGCAGCCCAAGCGTGGGGTGCCGCCTCTCTGCCTTCCCAGGCACGTTGGCGGAAGGGCAGCAGAGCAGCCGGCACTCGGGCATGCCTCAGTCCATTGCAGCGTGGCCCCGGCCCCAGGCCCGCTGGGAAGCACAGGGTGCAGTCCTTGGAGAGAAGTGGGGCCCGCTCCTCCATGAGGAAGGGGCTCCCCGAGCCTCCAGCTTGGACCCCTACTCCTGCCTGAGGACGCTGAACTTGTGCAAGCTCTGACACGACAGGGAAGTGCGCAAAGTTCTGGGGGGCGGCTGGCAGTCCTGGGGACCCATTGCAAGGATTGTGAGCGGGCCAGAGGACAGGGCCGTCTGTGCTGGGACACCACACACACTTCCGTCCTCCGGTTCACTCCCCAAGTGGCTGCAGTGGCTGGAGCTTCTCGGTGGCCCGTGTGAGTTCAGAGGCCTGAGGACCTAGGACAGGTACTGCTTTCGCAGGAGCTTCATTCAAAGTGGAGCAGCTGGGACATGAGCTAATGCCCACCTGGGGTGCTGGCATCACGGGCTGGCGTGATGTGCTGCACTGGGCACCAGCCCTTCTCCGCAGTTTTATTTGTAAACTGGACCACGAGAACAAGGGCTGTGTGATGTAGCTCAAACGAGCAGCCAAGTCGTTTCCGACTGAGCACCCCGTGGCACCACTGCTGGGACAGGAGTCGGGTGGGGGGAGCATGAACTGTCGCAGCCAGGACACTGGGTGCAGAGTGCTGGTGGGCTGTAGGCTGGCTGGCAGTGGCAGGGCCAGCTGGGGCAGCACTCAGCCTGGTGCCTGCTGACCTTCCCAGGAGGAGGAGATCACCAAGGAGGAGATTGACCTGCTCAGCGACGCCTGCTCCAAGCTGCAGGGGCAGCAGAAGGCGCTCAGCCGCGAGCGGGAGGAGCTGGAGCTGCTCAAGGAGGACGTGCAGGACTACAGTGAGGTGGGTGCCAGTGCTGCAGACACGTGCGCTCGGGCTCATCTGCTCTCCTTTCAAGATGCTTGCATTAATAAGTTTGTAGACTTGGAATTAAGAGTTGGCCACCATGAGTGGACATGCTGGGCCCCCGGCCTCTGCAGGGGCAGCAGCCCACCACTCCCCCGAGCCCCTGGTGGACCCCCACCCCGAGCCCCTCGGTGGACCCCCACTCGTCTCCCCAGGACTTGCAGGAGATCCGGAAGGAGCTGTCCAGGACGGGGGAGGAGGAGTTCGTGGAGGAGTCCAAGGCCAGCCAGCGCCTCTCCAAGCGGGTGCGGCAGATGATCGGGCAGATTGACGGCCTGATTGCACAGCTGGAGGCCGGGCCCCAGGCTGGCACAGCGAGCCCCACGCAGGGCGCCACCACAGGGTGAGTGTGGCAGCCATGCAACCTTGTGCCCGGGGTGCCCTCCCTGCACCCCACGCCTGCCTGTTTTCCAAGTGGTCCTCGCAGCTCTGGGCTGTCCTGCCCCCTGCCCTGTCCCCACAGCCTCCTGGCCCTGGGAACAGGCTGACACACAGTGGGCTTCTGCCGGCCCCTGTGGCAGTGGGCAGACTCCCACAGCAAGTCCTGGGCCCAGTGGCTTCTGAATTTTACACTCATCCCAAGAAGAGGAAGACAGGGAGGACGTGGGAGCCTGGGGCCCTGGACCTGGTTGGTCCAGAAGGACGGCCAGTGGGGGCGGGGCCTGGGTCGCAGGGGGCGGGGCCTGGGTCGCAGGGGGCGGGCCGCTCACCCCGCCCGGCCGCCCCCAGGGAGAGCTTCATTAGTGTGGAGGAGCTCATCACGGCCATGAAGCAGATCAAGGACATTCCAGAAAGCAAGCTGCTCAGGCTGGCCTCAGCCCTGGACGACAACAAGGACGGCAAGGTCAACATCGACGACCTCGTCAAGGTGGGTCCTGCTGGAGGCCGCCCCCGCAGCCCGGTCCTGCCAGTGCCCGTGACTCGGCAAGATGGCTGTGGGTGCCCCTCGCTTCCGTGTGTGTCCCAGGCCACACTGGTGGCCATAACAGGAGGGCAACAAATGGGCGAGGCCGTTCCTCCGGCTCTGGTGCAGCTTCAGGCCCTGGGCCTGGACAGGAGGGGTGAGCACAGTGACACCCCGCAGGGTCCAGACAAGGGGCACTGACAGCCAGGGTGCAGGCTCCGCCCCAGACTCTGGCAGCCCAGGGCTGGGCAATCTGCTGGGCTCTGCACTGGGGCAGGGCACTCCTGCCGGGCTCCCTGCTGGGGTCTGCACTGGGGCCATGTTGGCAGCCTGGGACCTGGGGCGACGTGGGTGCAGGGGTGGCAGGACGGTATGGGACACATGCGGGGCTCAGCCCCTCCCGAGGGCACAGGACGCGCTGGGCGCAGGGACAGGGCCTCAGAAGGCTTGCCCCAGCAGCTGCGCCCCTTGCTGCACGCAGGTGATCGAGCTGGTTGACAAGGAGGACGTGCAGGTCTCCCCTAGCCAGATGGCAGAGATTGCGGCGACCCTGGAGAAGGAGGAGAAGGTGGAGGAGAAGGAGAAGGCCAAGGGGAAGGCCGAGAAGGAGGCAGCAGAAGCCAAGAACTAGGTGCCCCAGCCTGGCTGTGGGCATGCGTCCCTCCACCGTGATCCCCGGAGAGTGGCACGTCAGGGCTGAACCACAGCCCCCAAGTCAGACCGCTCGCTGCTCATGTGCGCCATTCCATGAGGCTGCAGCCGGCCCTCCCAGAACCGTGGCATCTGGACTCGCCGCGCCGAGCAGCCCCAGCCCAGCCAGGCTGGACGGGAAGCGCCCCCTCCCCACTCCTCACCCACTGTGCCCCTACAGCCGGACGGGACGCAGTGGCCAAGCCCGATCCGTCCTCTGCCCCACGTGCTGACTGCGCCTCATCTCGGCGTGGCCTTGGTGCGGTCACTCGCTCCCCCCACCGCAGCCTGGGCCCCTGGGAGCCGTCTCCAGGGCTTCTCCGGCAGCCACCGCCCGCCTGGACCCGTCCCCCGCCTCCTGGGTTCTGCCTTCAGGGCTCCCCCTCCCCACGCTGCGGCCACCTGCGCGGTCTCGCCTGTCTACTCTGGACTCAGGCTGCCCCTGTGCTCTGGGATGGACATGGCCTTCTCACAGGCCGGCTCCCCCGGACTGGACTGCCGGTGGCACTATGTCCAGGCGCTCTGGGCCTCGGCTGGCTGTCTCCACACGCGAGGTCCTGCTTTTCTGCCTGTGCCCTGGGCCATGTGTGCCATGCCAGGCTGTGGAGGAGTCAGGGGCTGCCCCTTCCCTGTGGCTCCTGGGGTGGTGCCCACCATGCTTGTCCTCCCCATGTCAGTTGGCAGTCTGTACCTGACCAGCCTGGGCCCTGTGCTGGTGCCAGCGTGTGGCATTTTCTAGAATCTGACATAGGGTGATTTAATAGAAAGTGCCGTGTCTGTGTGTTGCTTCCTGCGTCCAGTTTGTCCAGCTCAGTGACCCTGCTTCCTGGTCCCTCCCCCTGCACCAGGAACAGACACCCAGCACCCCAGCCATCTGCTGCGTGTGGGGTGGGTGGGGCCAGGGGTTCATCCCCAGAGATGGGGCCTCAGTAACTTGTCTATGATAAGGAGCTGAGTCAGGGCCCAGTTGGAGGGTCCCAGCATCTGCCTCCCTCCTCCTGTGGCTCCCTTGGGACACTGTCCCCTGTGACCCAGGGGCCCTCACTGCTGGGGACACCTGTGAGCTCCGCTCACACCCCCTTGGCCTGTGTCTGTGCATGTCCGCAGGTCAGGGACACGGAGACGGGTCACACAGCCCTGAAGGGGTGAGGTTCCTGGGCTGAGGCCTGCTCACTCTCCAGGACCCTGTGATGCAAGGGCCTGTGGCCACCCAAGCCAGAGGCCTGTGGTGAGCCTGGAGGCGGCCACGCCTGGCTGTGCATGGGCTTACGGGGTCTTGGCCTTGCTCCTGCCCTAGCCTCCAGCCAGGGGAATTAAGAATGAGCCCGTCAGGCCTTCCCCAGGACACACTGGTGGTGGGCTCCCCAGCTGCAGGCTGCACGCACTGCCCCTGGCCCATGCAGACTCCTTGGTCCCCAGTCCCCAGTCTCCACCATTCACAGGGCCTCCCCACCAGCTGTGCCGCCCCAGCTCAGCGACAGGGGGCGCCCAGCCCATGTGCCAAGCCCTGGGTTCTGCCTGCCCACAAGATGGCAGTGCAGCTGCCCCTCCAAACCTCCCTGTCCTGGCCACTACCTCAGGTGTTACCACAGACCCAGGATGCCCAGCCTCGTCGGGGGTGGGAGTGTGAGGTACACCCCCCACTGGGACTTCCTCTGCCCCCAGGGTCATGAACAACACCCACAACCCAGGGTGAGACAGCAGGGGCGGGGAGTCCAGCTTGGCCCAATACCCCTCCTCCAATGGAGCCTCCCAGACTGCCCAGCCCTCAGCTCCCCTGAGACCAAGGGCACCAGCTGCACCCGCCTGGACAGGCGGGGAAGGGTGGAGCCTGTAGGACCAGGTGTGGCCGCAGCCAAGGGGACCCAGCGAGGCCACATGGCCCCTTGCCAACACCCCTAAGGACACCTACTGTCCTCAGCCTCCACACCCCCATCTTGGGGTTGCATCTGGTGACATCAGGGGTCTGCTGCAACAGCCAGGGGACTCCCACACCCACAGACCACCAAGAAATCTATTCGGGTATGGGAGCAGCGACCTGGTCTGGAAGAGTCCCTGGGGGCCCACTCAGCAGACGGCTCCAGGCAGCACTCTGAAGCAGGCTTTTATTTCAGAGTCTCGTCCATGACTTGGGCCCAGCCCCTGTGCCACCAGGCACCCGCCCTAACCTGGGGGAGGAGGGGGCATTAAACAGTACAAAAAGTCCCACGCTCAGGCGGCCCCCCTCCCCTGGCCGGCAGCCTACACAAGCATTGCGTCAGCAGTGTTAGGTCTACAGCAAATGCCATCTCGTAAAAACGCAATAAATTATATATATAGATATATAGATATATAAACTCGTAACATCTAATAACATCTGAAGATCTGCTCTCGCCCCGCCCCGGGAAGGCAGTGTCAGGGCGAAGGCACCAGCATGGGCCTTGAAGTCCACAAAAATGAATCTCCTGGAGAAATGCCCGCGGCGGAGGCCTGGCTGCCCAGCCACGGGCGGGCAAAGGAAACGTAACATTCCCAGGGACCGACCGCTGGGGCCTGGGCTGTGAATAAGTTAAGACGCGTCGGGGAGGGGAGTTGGGGGCCGGGGGCGGTAAACACCCAGGACCAGGTACAATTTTTAAAACAAAACTGCAGCGCCAGGAAAGCCCCCTGTTCCTCCACGGCCCCCTGCGGCCGTGCTGCCCAAGAGAGCCCACCTTCGGGTACCCGTAATTCCAGTCTCCGAGGGGCAAGGGAGCCGCCAAAGGGGTTCCTCCCCAACACAAGCCCTGCCTGGAGGGCCAGAGGCCACCGACCACTGAGGCTGGGGGGCCTTCGGCCAGCAATGGGGGGCAGGGGTCCCCCTACATTCTACTTCTGGTGCCCTTGGGGCTGCAACACACGCAGGCACCGTGGGCCCTGTCCGTGCGCCCACCCGAGCCGGGGCCAAGGGCAGAGCCAGCAGCAGCTGAGCTGAGCGCCACAATGGGCTCTCACAGGCCTGGGGGCGTCAGGCCCTTCAAGTCCGCGGTCCCCCGCTGCTGGGCAGCCCTGGGGGCAGCAGGTCGTGGGTGAACACGGAGTCGTCGTCCGAGGAGCTGGAGCCGGGGCTGTCCTGGCCACCTGGGGAATACTGCTCAAAAGGCGCCGACAGATCCAGGTACTCCTGGGGGCAAACGGGTCAGGGCTCAGCACCACCCATGCCCGCGGCCCGGCCCACGCCCCTCTCCCGCGACCCGGCCCGGCACTCACATCGGTGGACGTCACGGTGAGAATGCGGTCCATGTCCTCCACCAGCTGCTTGAAGGTGGGTCTCTGCGAGGGCGCGGCGTGCCAGCACTCCCGCATGATCATGTACCTGAGGGCGAGGGCCAGTGGTCACGGCCACGCGGGGCTGGGGCGCGGGGCACATGCAAAGGGGCGTGGCCAGGGGCCTCACAGGTCATGTGTGCAGTTGGCCGGCTTGTCCATGCGATGGCCTTCCTTCAGCAGCTTGAAGAGCTCCTCCACAGGAATGCCGGGGTACGGGGAGCCCCCCAGCGTGAAGATCTCCCAGAGGAGCACCCCGAAAGACCAGCTGCGGGGAGCCAGAACGGTGAGGCTTACCCCTGCCAGGGCAGGCCTGGCCTGCCCACCCCCACGCCCACAGGAGACACCTACACGTCGCTCTGGTGCGTGTAGACGCGGTCAAACAGGGCCTCGGGCGCCATCCACTTGACGGGCAGCCTGCCCTGGGGGGAGCAGAGGGCGGGCAGTGTGGGCGGCGAGGCAGCGGGTGAGCTCGGGGCCCCCCCACCCTGCGCGGGGCTGGGCTCACGTTGGTGGTCTTCTTGTAATAGTCGAGGTTGTGCACGTCCCGGGCCAGGCCGAAGTCGGCAATCTTCATCACATTGTCCTCTGTCACCAGCACGTTGCGGGCGGCCAGGTCCCTGTGGATGCACTGGCCAGGGAGGGAGGGGCGGGCAGGGCTCAGTGCCACTCAGCGACACCCCTGCCGGCCGACGGCACCCCTCGCTGCCCGGCCTCAGTGCCACCCGCCTTCTGGGAGGCAGGGCTCAATGCCACGTGGCGACCCCCCTGCTGGCTCACAGCGCCCCTGGCTGCCCGGCCCTCAGCGCTACCCACCTTCTGGGAGGCCAGATACTCCATGCCGCGGGCCACCTGGTAGGCGCAGGACACCAGATCTTTGAAGGTGAGCTGCTCCTCGGGCAAGCGGCAGGTGTCGAAGGAATAGTCCATGCCCGGAGGCCTCCTGGCCCGCAGGTACTCCCGCAGATTCCCCTTGGCAGCGTACTCCACCAGCACGTACAGCGGCCCTGCAGGGAGCCTGCCTCAGCAGGGGCACCCGACAGCCCTGCCCTGCCCACCTGCACCGCGCTCCCAGGCCCGCCTGGCCCATGGCTTCTCACCTCCCACCTCCCTGCATGCGGCCCCCGGCCCCCTTCTCCCACCTCCCTGCGTGCGGCCCCCAGCCCCCGTCTCCCACCTCCCACCTCCCCACGTGTGGACCCCGGCTCCCATCTCCCACCTCCCACCTCCCCACGTGTGGACCCCGGCTCCCGTCTCCCACCTCCCCACCTCCCCACGTGCGGACCCCGGCCCCCGTCTCCCACCTCCCACCTCCCCACGTGTGGACCCCGGCTCCCATCTCCCACCTCCCCACGTGCGGACCCCAGCTCCCATCTCCCACCTCCCACCTCCCCACGTGTGGACCCCGGCTCCCGTCTCCCACCTCCCCACGTGTGGACCCTGGACCCCGTCTCCCACCTCCCTGCATGTGGCCCCCGTCTCCCACCTCCCCACCTCCCCGCGTGTGGACCCTGGACCCCGTCTCCCTGCACGCGGCCCCCGTTTCCCACCTCCCACCTCCCCACGTGTGGACCCCGGCTCCCGTCTCCCACCTCCCTGCGTGCAGGCTCCCAGCAGGTTGATGATGTTTTTGTGTTTTCCAATCATCTTCATCATCTCCATCTCCGACACCAGGTCAGACAGGTCCTTGTCAGTGGCGTCATCTACGCAGGCCAAGGGGCTGCGTCAGCCGACGGCCCCTCCCCCCGCCGGGGCGCCCCCCCCTCCACCTCCCCTCCTCACCTTTCAGCATCTTCACGGCCACGGTGACGGGCCGTGCTGCCCGGTCCTTGTCAATGCCGATGGCCTCGGCCATGACCACCTGGCCAAAGCAGCCTTCTCCCAGGGGCTTCCCCAGGGTCAGCCTGGCAGGCAGGGGAAGAAGACCACACGTGAGGACACCTGCTTGCCCGTCCCAGCCGCCCAGGTAGAGCCCTGCTCCCACACCACGCACACCACCACTCACCGGGCCCGGGACAGCTCCCACTGGGGGTCGGCAGGCAGCTCCAGCTCTGACACGTTGGCCAGCGTGGGGCCCTCCCCGGAGGACAGCCGGGCGACGCGGACCAGCGGCGTGGTGGAGGTCATGGACGAGCTGGACTCCAAGGACACCTGCTTGGGTCGGCAGGGACAGGTTGGGGCCGCCCAGCGGGGCTGAGCAGGGGCGGAGGGGGCGCGGCGGGGCCAGGCGGCTCGGAACCCGGTATCTACTTTCTGTTACCTGTCGCTTCAGCGGGAACCTGGAGACTTTGTGCACAGTCGGGGAGCCCAGGCCCTTCTTGGGCGGGCTGTGCAAGCGGCACAGCGTCACGGCGGCCACCACCAAGATGAAGAGGAAGAAGCCGGCGCCATAGCTGAGGACGCCGGCGTACACACTGCCCGCCTCGCCTGCCTCCACCAGCTCCTCCTGGGCTACAAGGACAGCAGCATTGGACCGGGTCCCCACGGCCGACCCGGCAGGCCAGAGCACGGGCAGCCAAGGGGCAGGGGGGCATTCAGAATGGCCTGTGAGTTAGCAGGGCGAGTGAGGACCAGGAGAGAAGCGCCTAGCAAGCCAACCAGCGTCCACCACCCAGGCACCCCGGAGACCCCGAAGCCGCCACCGCCGCCTCAGGGAGGGGGCGTCCCTGGCAGCGCCGGCGTGTGCCGGGCCAGCAGCCCCAAGAGGACAGGTGCAGGCAGAGGCAGCAGCAGAGCCAGTACCTGGAAGCACCACCAGCCACGCAGAGTGATGGGAAAACCCAATAGAATTGCCCGCCAGGCAGGTGTACTCCCCCGCGTCCTCAAAGGTGACATTGCGCAAGGACAGAACCTCTAGCTCCTTGTCGGTGGTGTTAGCGCCCGCCGTCTACGAGAGAGGAGAGAGCCGCCGTAGCCCAGGCCCGGCCCCCACCGCCCCACGGGCGACCCCACGGCCACCGTCCACGGAGATCTGGCCAAGGCTGCAAGGAAAATGCCGCCGCCGCCACCAGCACCCGGGCCACACGGCCGCGGCCACGGCCACCGAGGGTGCCTCCGAGCCCAAAGCCAGTCCCTCCACCGGCAAGTCCTCTGTCCCAGGTGAGCGCCAGGCGGGCAGGCAGCTCGAACGGCATGCAGTTAGCACGGGGAGGGGGGCACAGGCTGTGCCTGGGTGCTGGGGGCAGATGGACAGGCGGGTGGACAGAGCAAGCAGGAGGCAGCGCCAGGCCGGAGGGAGAGGCAGGCCGTGCTGCGGGCCTCGGGGGAGCACATGCACGCAGGTGCAGGTGCAGGTGGGGTCCACAGCAGCTGGGGGTGTGGCGGTCTCCTCCAGAAGGCTCAGGCGGCATTGCCACGAGTCAGCAAGCGAGTGAGCCAAGCGCGGTCCATGAGAACTGGGGTGCAAGAAGCGAGCGGGATGGGGGTGGGGCGGGGGCGTGCAGGGCGTGGCAGGCAGACGCTGGGCTGAGGCCCTGGAGCTGGAGCGCCGCGTGCCAGGCAGGCGTGGGACAGTGGTTACCTGCTCGGGGCCCGTGAACGCGCAGCCAAAAGGCCTTCTCGGCCACGCCTATGAAATTGGTGGCTCGACAGAGGTACTCGCCCCCGTCGCGCTCCGACACATTGGTCAGGCGCAGGCGCGCGTCCGCCTCCACATTGTCACTGATCCAGGACTGTGGGGGAGGGGAGGACAAGAGACCCCGCTCAGGCGTGCCCCGCACGAGGCAGGTGGGGAGGGCTGCCTGGAGGAGGCGGTGAGCAGGCGAACACTGGCACACTGGTGCGGGGCAGCCTCTCGCGGCGGGCTCTGGCAGGGCACGGCCTCCCGCCACGGGATGTCTGCCTTTGGGCTCGGAGTGTGGCGAGCTCCATTGGAACGCGGCAAGGGCGCCCACCCCCGGCCCAGCCCTCACGTCCGGCAGCGGCGCCCACCTTCAGCACGGTCACGTAGGGCGTGCCGTCCGGCCCCACCTTGCTGCCGTTCACCTCCACGTGCTTCAGCCACTGGATGTGCGGCTGCGCGTCGCTGTACACCTTACAGTGGAACTCCACGTCGCTGCCCAGCACGGCTGTCTGGTTCGCGGGCAGCCCGGCCTGCAGGATGGGCCGGTGTGGGGAACGCTCTGCCGAGAGGCGGGAAGGAGCTTAGCCTGGCGCCTGGCAGGGCCCCACCCACCCACGCGCGCTGCCCTGCTCTGTCGGCTCACCCAGGACATCCAGTGTGTACGTCTGCTGGATGCTGCCGAATTTGTTCTCCACCACACACGTGTAGTTGCCGCGGTCAGAGGGCACCACGCTCTCCATCACCAGGCTCCACTGCTGGTGCCGCAGCTGTGGGGGCGCACACGGTGAGGCCCTCGGGCCCCGCAATCCGGCCCCTCATCTACACAGCGTCATTGTGCAGCCCCTTGGGGCCAGTCCCGCCCCTCGGGCTCCGTGCCTGCCCAGGACCCACCTTGATGCCACCAATGCGGTGCTCCCCACGGAACTCCTTGCCGTTCTTCAGCCAGGAGATGGAGGGGGTCGGGTTGCCAGCGGCCGGGCAGCGGAAGCGGACAGTGTTGGCAGCAGGCACTGCCAGCAGCTTCTTGTCCATCCGTTCGGGCCGAGTCCAGTAAGGAGCCGCTGCGGACAGAAGCATCCAGGCCGGCCATTGACCGAGGCGGCAGCGCGAGGCTCGCCTGCCCTGGCCCATGTCCCCTCCCGCATCCGGGGAGAGCTGGCTGGACAGGCCCCTGGCTGGACCAGGCTCCCTGCAGCCCCCATGCCTGCCTGGTCTGCCACCCCACTTGTACAGCTGGGAGGTGTCCCACCTCCTACAGGGGCCCACGGGTCTGCATCTCTGGCCCCAATCCAGGAAGGTAGGCCCAGCACCCAGCCGACAGCCTGGGCAGCAGTGTGCGGAGAGAAGCAGGCACGGCAGAGCCCGGAGTCTGAGGGAGGCAGGCAGGTGGGCCGCACCTCTCGGGGGCCCTGCCACCCCACCCTCACGCCCGCCTGATTCTTCTCCTCCAAAGCGACTCTAGGGCACACAGGGTACCAGAGGACCCAACACTGCCCACTGCCAGGCCAGCAAAGCTCCCACTGGGGTGGTGAGCCAGGTGGTGCCCAAGAGAAAGGGGCCAGGAGCTGCCCATGCTGCTGCCCTCCAGGCCCTCTACACTGCAGCTACCCGCAGCACCCATCCCAGCTCAGCCAGCACCCCCAAGCGTGTGCCAACCTCGCCCACAGCCCATCACACACACTTGCCCTCCCTTGCCCGGCCTGCTGGCACGGCACTCACCTGTGTCTTCAGCCTCATCCTCCTCGTCTTCATCGTCTCCGGAGGAAGGAGCGTCTGTGGCACAGGGGAGCACAGCGGGCACTGGCCCTCAGCCTCCGAGCTGCCCCAGGCCCCTCGCCATCCATCCTTCAGGTGCCTGAGCCCCCTGCCACCCCGCGGGCACTCACCAGTCAGCCGCGCACTGAAGTGGCACAGCACACGCTGGGTAAGGCGCTGCTGGTAGCTGTAAAGTCCTGCATCTTCCTGGGAGGCGTTGAGCACCTGTAGGCGCTGAGGCTCCGCCAGGATGCGGCTGGAGGGCACCAGCCCCGCGCCATCCTTGACCCAGACCGTGGGCCCCACGTGACCCCCTCCAGGAAGGGGGCAACTCAGCTCCAAGGTGTCCCCGCTGCTGAAGATCACCTGCTCCTGTTGGATGGGCTCCGGCCCAGGGACTCCTGTAAGGCAAGACGGGCACCCTGAGCTGTGCACCTGCTGGGCCACCTGGGCAAGGATAGCACCCCGTGCGCAGGCCAGCGGTCAGCCTCGCTATGTGCTGCGTGTCACAGCTCCCAGCAGTCTGGAAGTAGGACACTTCCTACACCCCAGAAATCCCCACAGCTGCTGTGGCGGGCAGTCACAGGTGCACGCGGGAGCAGGGGCGGGTAACAGGGCCACAGCCGGGAAGTGGACCCGGGGCTCGGCTTGGAGTGCCCACCCACACCCAGGAGGGAGCAAGGAAGGAGAGACCAAGTCCACACGGAACCCAGGGCCTACCCACACGGTCCCAGCATTACAAACAAGGTGGGCGCACCAGGCTCAGGTGGACACGGGCAGGAAGGCTCGCCAGGAGCTGTGGGACCCTCTGGGGGTGGGGGGGAGCCCGACAGGTGGGCCCTGTCCTGGCTCCCCAAGACACAGTGCAGCACCCCTGACCATCACCCCGGGGCCTCCCTGAGTGGGCCAGCCTATTCATGCAGGCTGCTAGCCCGGGCTTGGGTCCCAGGGACAGGGGTGGGTGGTCCCAGGAGACAGGCCCCTGTCCAGGCCCAGCTGGGCCAGTTGCACTATCACTTGTCATTCTGTCAGCGCATGGCCTAGATTCGCGGGCCCAGCTGCCCACTGTGTGTGCTCCCTGCCCAGGTCCAAGTCTGCCAACGCACCCATCCACCCGTGTGGCCCCAGAGCCCTGCAGTGCGAGGACCTGTTCCCATCCACAGGGTCCTGGGGCCCTGTGGGGGGGGGGGCCTCCCGGTTTGTCCTGTGGGGACCACCCAGCACCACTTGCTGCCTAGGCCCCCCAGAAGGCTGAGGCCAGGCTGCTGTGGCCGCCTCGGCCCCAGGCGCAGGCCCAAGGGCAACAGCCAGCTGAGTCCGGTTTGGTCTGGACAGAGACAACAGGTCAGCATTGCACACAAGTATTTTCTTCAACCTGATCCAGCCCCGCGGCCCCCAGGCTAGCCACACCCTGGACCCTCACCCTCGGCCATCGCCTGAGCCCTGCCCTCTCCACCCAGCCACCCACCTGGCAGCCTGCTAACAGCCCAGGGGCTGGGTGCAGCCAGAGGTGAGTAAGTAGGCAGGTTGGGCCCGGGGTCTCCCTGGCTGTGCCTCAGTTTCCCCACCGCAGCACAAGGCTGGAATCCCACAGCATTCGAGCCCCAGGCTGGAGAAGCCACGGGCAAGGACTCTGACCCTGGGTCGAGCCCCAGGCCGCGATGCCAACCAGGGAGCTGGTGTGGAGAACAAGGTGGCTGCTCCACAGCACGTAGCCCCTTAAGGGACACCCCAGGGAACCGAGGCTGCCCCAGCCCAGCTCCCGTTTCCCACCCAGAGACATTCCGCAAAGTCAACAGGGGAGAAAGGGGATGGGGGGGAGGGCTAATGAGGGTTTAGGGGATTATCCGGCCTAATCCGCCCAACAACCCTGCCATTATCGGTCCTCCCACACAGGTGAGGAAGTTGGAGCCCAGGAGCCCTGCCAGACCCCCACAGACCATTGCCCGCCGCCCCCTCCCAGGACTCGACAGGCCCCAGCTGAGACTCGGCGCAAGGGCCAGAGGCCGAGGCATAGGGCCAGGTTAATGAACCACCACGAGGCCTACAGGGCTCAAAGTCCAGCGCTGGCCAGCGGGGGGTGGGGAGGCCGCAGCTGCCTTCCGGGGGCAGGCCCCACCCCCACCCGGGGCCCCTGCCCCGCGGCGCGCGGGACCCTCCCTCGGGCCGCTCTCAGGCCACCCCCGTGTGCGCGCGCGCGGATGGACACTGACCGGGTCAGCCTGAAGCTGCCAGGGCCAGCGCAGAGCGCCCTTGACAGCAGCCGCCGGGCGCGGGGGACAGCGCCTGCACGGACCTTGGGCAGAAGCTCAGCGCGAGATGTTTGTGCTTTTACTGTCCGGCGACGTCGTTAAAGAGCCGGATTAAGTTTATGGTTCCAGCCACGCACTACTGGTTCCACCGGCTCCGAGGCGGAGGCGAGAGCGCGGCGTGCTGAGCCAGCACCCACTCCCGTGCCCGCCGATGGGGGGGTCCGGGAGGGTTGGGGGCCGCCGCTTCCCACCCCCCGCCTGCCCCGAGCCAGCCGCGAGCCGGCAGGACGTCGCCGGGCCGTGGGCAGTAATATCTTCATCTGAATGCGAATGCGGATGGTAATGCGCCCCCCGCGGCCGCCCCCGTCGGCGCCCCCCGGCCGCGGGGCCGTCGGAGCAGGCGCTCAAAGCGCGCGCTGACCCCGCGCCGGCCTCTGTCACACCGTGAATGACACGCGCATTCAAGCCAGGACCACTCTCATTCATAAAAAAAAGTGACATTGTTCGCGCGGCGCAAGGGGCGCGGGGGCGGGGGCCGCCATCTGCCTCGGAGCCGCGGGCCCGCCGCCTCCCTGGCACCGCGCGCCCGCAACCGCCCCGCGCGCACCTCCCGGGCCGCCCGAGGTACAAAGGAGCGGCTGTTGGGGCCTCGGCCGGGGAGCGGGGCGCAGGCTCTCGGGGAACCACAGCTTCCTCCACCCCTCTCCGGCGTGGCTGCAGCGCCGGGGCAGGGGTGCGAGCCGGGGGTCCGCGTCCAGCCCCCGGGGCGCAGGACCTGGACGCCCCGCCGCACCTTGACCGCGACCGGGTCCGCAGCTCCACGACCCTCGGCACCCGCCTCCTCCGGGCGTCCCTCAGTCCGGCAGGCACCGAGGGGAGTGGCGGCGGCGGGAGGTGTCACCTGGCCACGCGGTGGCTGGGGCCAAGGGGCTGTGCCTCCACGCACAGTCAGACCCGCCCTCCCAGGTTGGGCCTCTCGCTTTGGCCACAGCTGGCCGGGAACCGGGGCCGGGGCGGAGGTGGGGGTGGGGGGCCCAGGACACAGGAACTTTCCGTTCGCGCAAAGCCCGAGAAAACAATGGGGAAGGCGCAAAAGTCCCCGCTCCCCGTCCCGGCCCAGGGCTCCCGCGGCCCCTCCACAACCAGCGAACCCGCAGCCGCCTCCCGATGCCTCTGCCAGCCGGGACCCCCGGCTCCCTCCCCCGGCTCCGCGGTGAGGAGAGGTCCTCCCTTACCTGCCGCCCTCCGCACCACTCGAGGCTCCGAACCGGGGCGCTCCGAGGCGGCACCACCCACGACGGCCAAGGCCACGGCCACGCAGAGCGCGAGCGCGCGGGCCGGGGCACCCATGGCGGGGACCGGGCCGACTTCCTCAGGCGGCGCGCGCGGGCATGGTGCCCCCCACGGCCCGGCCCGGAGCCCGGCACAGGCAGGAGGGCGCGCTCCGGAGTCTGCGGGAGGAGGAAGAGGAGGAGAGCTCGTTACGGGCCGAGGGGGCGCGCGGCAGCGGCCCGGACCCCGCGCGCCCAGCCCCTCTCCGCGGCCGCCCCGCCCGCCGCCGCCGCCCAGGGCTCCCGGGCCGCCTGGCGCCGGCCGCCTCCTCCCCGCCGCGGTCCCTCCCTCCCTCCCCCTTCCCTCCCCGGCCGCCGCCGAGCCCTCCCAGGGCGGCGGCGGCAAACTTTCCAGAGCGGGAAGCGCGCGGCCGGCCGGCCCCTGCCACGGGGGCCGCTCGGGACCCCAGCCCGCCGCGCGCCCCGGCCCCCGAGGACGCCCCGGCGACCCCTCCCGACGGCTCGCCCGGCCCCGCGCACCGACCTGGCGCCTCGGGGACCCGGGTCGCCACGCGCGGCTCCCGCCCGCGCCCGCAGCCAGCCGTGCCCGCGCCGCCCGCGCCTGCCCACGCCGGTGCAGTCCCTTCGCCCGGGAGGGACCGCACGGCGCCAGCTGCCCGCTCCGCCGCCGCCGCCGACCACTGAGCGGGGCTGCCCGGCGCGCCCGCAGCCCGGGGGGGACGGCCCGCGCGCCCCGCCCCCGGCCCGCCCACACCACGCCCGCGCCGCGCTGCTCCAGCCGCCGGGCGGGGACGCGGGCAGGAGGCGTGGCCGGCGGGGGCGGCCCACAGTGCCCCCCGAGGCCCCGCGCAGCCGGGTCCTCTGGGCCGGGGACTCCAGGGAGGCTGGGTTTGGCGCGGGGGTCCAGGAGACTTCGGGGACGGGTCTCCCAGCAGGGCCCGCGTGGGGACTTCTGCAGCCACCGCCGCCCCAAGGCATGCCAGCCAGGGGGCCTGTGGGGAAGGGCCTCCGCCCCAGGGGCAGAGTGCGGGGCTGCTGCAGGCCTGACTCCGCTGGCCCTCTCCGGTGCTGTCCGCTCAGGCCACGTCCCCGCTGACCCTCAGGCGACTGCCACTCCAGAGTCCTCGCGGGACGTGGGTCCACACCCTGTCCTCTGTCCATCCCCAGTGGCCCACAACCGCTGGGTGGGCTGGTCTCCTGTTCACCCCTGGCGTGCCACACAGTTGGTTAGCCCCTTTCCGATGAGGACCACAGTGCCCTCAAATCCTTGTCCCTGGGCAGGCTTCCTGTAGCTCTCAACTCTGGGGTCCCTGCCCCCCATCCCACCTCTGTCTCTGCCACTTACTGACTTTGGGGTTCACGTGGCTGAGTCCAGAGCACCTCATGTGTGCCCCTGCTAACGTGGTCACAGGCACTGGGCACCAGTGCGGGCAAGTGTCCTGCCGTCTGTGCATGTCAATCCCAACCTGGCCCCGTGCCTGGTGTGGCTCCCCCCTGGAGCACTGTCCACTCCTGCCCACGATACCCGGGGCTGGCCTGGGCCAAAGTCTGCAGCTGGGAACCGCCCCAGGGTCTCCCACGTGAGGGCAGGGACCCGGCCACTTCAGCCGTCACCTGTCACGTGCACACCAGCAGGTTAGATGCTCAGGCCCCCGGTGCCAGATTCCAAACTCCAAGCCGGTGCTCACTGTCGAGGGGACGTGCTGCATCGTCAATTTCGTGGTTCCCATTGATTGTTCTCAAGTCAGCATGTGTGGCAGAAGGAGGCTGTTCCCAACCGGGGTGTTGTGCCGTACCGGTAAAGCCATTCCTTGGAACCCAGCATCCCATATGGGCACCAGTTTGAGTCCCGGCTGCTCCACTTCCCATCCTGCTCTCTGCCTGTGTGTGGCCTGGGAAGACAAGCAGGGATGGCCCAAAGCCTCGACCCTGCACCTGCATGGGAGACCTGGAAGAAGCTCCTGGCTCCTGGCTTCAGATCAGCCCAGCCTTGGCCTCTGCGACCATTTGGGGAGTGAGCCAACAACATCTGTCTGTCGGTCCGAAACTTTCAGATACACGCAATCAAACCTTGAGCGCATTGTTGCCCCTGGACCCTCGCTGCTCTCTACCACCCACCCAGGTGGTGCAGCCTGCCAGACCCCCTCCCTGCACGTACTTCCCCCCCCCCCATACTTGGCTCCCAGAGGCAGGTGGGGGGTCAGGGGTTCCCAGTGAAGGTGGGTGGGAGGCCCCACAGGCAGGGAGAGGGGCCAGCAGCCCAACCCAGCCCTGCCCCAACTGGTGACTCAGAGCCGGCAGCCTGGCTTGCTGGGGCCTGTGTGGGTGAGCAGGGGAGGGGGCCATGCCGGCCTCCCCCGGGGAGCGGCAGGAGGGCGTGGCGTGGCACACAGAAGGCTGGGGTCACTGGGGTGCCTCGGTGGCCAGGTCTGGCCAAGCACTGGACTGCCCACCACAGATCCTCCTGCCCCAGCAGGCACCCCACCTCCTCCTGGGGACCTGAGGTGAAGACAGCCATGGCTCTGAGCACAATGCATTTATTCCTGCAGTATAGGAGAGAGTGAAGACAGAAAGCCAAGCTCCATTTGATCTTATAACAGAAATGGAATTGTTTGGCTTTGTTGTTGTTATTGTTGTTTAACATTTTATACTTGAAAAGCACATTTACAGAAAGAAAGAGATCTTCCATCTGTTGGTTCACTTCCCAAGCGGTTGCAACGGCTGGAGCTGGGCCGATCCAAACCCAGGAGCCAGGAGCCTCTCCCAGGTCTCCCCACGCGGGTGCAGGGTCCCAAGGCTTTGGGCCGTCCCCCACTGCTTTCCCGGGCCACAGGCAGGGAGCTGGACGGGACGTGGAGCAGCTGGGGTTAGAACCAGCAGCCATATGGGATCCCAGTACATACAAGGCAAGGACTTTAGCCACTAGGCTACTGTGCCAGCCCCAGAAATGAACTTTTAAAGAAAAAAAGAAATAGTCCTAACCCACAGGCAACACTACGTTCTCTGTGACATCTTTCATTTTAGTGTGGAGCTTCTGACAGCCCCAACTCGGAGGCCCCACGGTGAGTCACGCAGTGTGGGCCCAGGTGTGGGGAACAGCCCCAAGTCTGCACCGCAGATCCTGAGGTCAGCAGGAACGGGGAGCAGGGGATGCTCCCAGGGGCTGGAGCGGGGCCGAGGGGCTCCCTGCTGCCTGCGGCTGCCAGGCCAGTGAGAGGGGCAGGCAGGAGGCAGCCATGGAGGGGTTAAGACCTCGCAGCTCCCCTCCCCCGGCAGTGGGCAGGGGCCAGGCCAGTAGCCGCGGAGCTGGGCAGAAATCTATTTTCCGAAGCACTTGCCATTTGCCTGAAACCTCAAGTGTATTTTCCCTCCGTTTTATTTTTTACTTTGACCCCAAACTCTGGTAAATTTAAGGGAAATTTAATGATGGTGTTTTGGGTCCATGTACACTTTTTCCAGGACCTTCCGGAGCCTTCTCAGCAGGGAAAGGGCCCTGCCCTGCCCCCGCCGGGCCTCCCCCTCCCCCCACCCAGAGTAAACAGCCAGGGGACCCCGGCCCCCGGGCCCCGCCCCTCCCTGCACCTGCCTCACGCCAGGCTGGGCCATGACTCCAGTGCCAAGGACAGGGGTGCATTAGGTCAGGGGAAGCCCCAGGGCTGGACTGGCACTGAGTGGAGGGCTGTGCAGGGTCGGTGAGGGCTCACATCCCCCCAGTGGAGGGAGGACCAGCCCCTCCTCTCTAAAGCCACCCTGGGGTGCAGGGGGAGGGGCCTGTGGCCCTGCAGGTCTTGATAGATATGTCCTGGCCCCCCCGCCCCACCACGCCTGCCTGCCTGCCGGCACGGGCTGCTGACAGCTTCATTGTGCACCGGGCTGGGGCAGGCGGGGGCTGGAGGCCAGGATGCCGCAATGCTGACCGCAGCCAAGGAGGGCCGTGGACATCAAGGAGAGGGCCTGTGATGACCGGCTGCACCTGTGCCCGCTCTGGCCTCCGGGCCTATTCTGGCTGCTCACCCACTCACCCTGGGGGGAGAGGGACCTGGCCACCCCTAGGAGCCAGGGGAGGGGACAGGGAGACCTGGCTGCAGAGGCTGAAGGACCCCCGCACCCTGGTTGGTTCCGGGGAAGCCCCCTCCCCTGCCAGGCATTGGCTCGGCACCTGCCCCCAAGTCCCAGCCTGGGCCAGATCTCCCCAGAGTTGGTGGGGGTAGGGGTGGGGAAGGAGGGTACTGGCTGTAGCCCTGTGGGTTATCTGGGGACCAGGGTCTGGGTTGCCTCAGAGTGGATCAAAGGGGCTTATCAGGCCAGCAGGGCCAGACCAGCTTCGCATGGCCACCCTGCCCCCTCCTCCAGCATGCCTTCAGGAACCTGCCCATCCCCACTCCCAAGCCCCCAGCCTTCAGCCTTATCCCTGGTTCCAACGAGGCCACGCCTGGCTAACAGGACAAGGAGGCCTGGTCCCAAGGAGGCCATGCCTGGCTTCAGGACAACAGCTCCAGTCCCAGAGACAGCAAGGTGGGCTGGGAGGCCTGGCAGGAGGGAGGCAAATGCAGCTGGGCTTCCTCTGAGCCCGCCGCGTGCCCTGTGCACTCCCACAGCCCAGGGGCTGGGCCAGGCTGCAAACTGGGTCAGAGCAAGGCCGGGCAGGCTCTCCTGCCCTGGCATCACCACCACACCTGACTGGGCCGAGCACCCACGGCAGCCGGCCTGGGCTGCCCGCCCCACCACCACCCCGCCCCGGGCGCAGGCTGCGGCGGTACGCCAGGGTCTGGGGGAGTCCACAGCGGCTTGGCTCAGGGGGACAGAGTAGTCCACAGTGTGAGCCGTGCAGCTTGCCCACAGGGTGGAGTAACCCAGGCCAGCAGAGGAACAGGCACCCCAGGCCCTGAGACCCTCGGGGGACAGACCTCCTCACTCCAGGCCCGCCCCCCCCCAGCTCGGTGCTCCCAGCTGCCACAGGTGCACACACAGGCGGAAGCCGGTTAGCCTTGTAACCAAGGCCCCTGCCTCTTGGCTGCGTTGAGCTCACGGAACTGGTCGTGCCAGAAGCTGCCTTAA